GGGGGGGGGGGGGGGCTGTGGGGGGGGGGCAATTGTACTGAAGTCTAAGAAAACGGACATTTTTATCTAAGCTAATCCGTAAAATAGTTTTTACATCGAACCGTCGAAATTTCAGCCTATATACATTTTTGTCCAGAAATGTCCGAATCTGAAGAGACTCTGACATATATAGAAAAGACATCTATGAAATAGGAAAAGAAATTCCTACTTTGAGGTATCTTTGAAAGAATTTTATCATTTCGTATATTTCTAGTACTTCTGAAGATAAGTTACATACATATGGACATAAGAGTCCATATCAACCCATCAAATCAATCTGTTCTTAGATGCCAGCTTTTTAGCACTCCGTCTAATACCTTGATACAATAAGGCCTAGGCACTATCCTGTTGTTATTCAAAAATGCGACGATTTGATTGGATTGTACGCTAGCGGATACTTCCAATAAGAGCCCTCGACAGAAAGCCACATAGCTATGATTTCTCGTCTGCCTTGTGAACTTAACTCTGATTTACAGAAGACAAATGACTTTATTCACATTCCATAAAAAGTAGGAGAAATAATTGTGCATTTTCGCAAAAAGGAAAGAGATTATACATAAAGCGTATTGACCGACAGGTGTCGTAGGACTTTCAAACAGGAAAAGTATCTAGGGGTGTCAAGGTTATAGACGGAATTCGGTGCATCACCAAACACACATAACAACTTTGGCTTTAATGGTACAATAACCGTAAAAGTGGACCAAAAATGGTTATCTCATTGTAGCCTATATATAACATATTAACTAGAATAAGTAAAGTTTGCGAACTTGGTCATAATTTGGTTACAGTTGGCAATTATCTTCATCTGTTCAAGTTCCCAAGACTTGACACACGAAACATGAAACCACGAAACAAGTCGATAGCGACCATTTACATATTAAAACAATTCTCTTTGGAAATTGAACAGCGTATCGTATATACCATTCCTTAATCTACACTTCCTTATCGTGACCAAGTCTATGTTTGACCCGGAGGATTCCTCAAAGAATTGCCTTATTAGCTACTATAAATTTCTCATAAGAAATAATAAAATAGCGATGGCTATCGTTATATACGCCCACCATTGTAATGGCGGCCAAGTCGTCTGGGAGGTTGACAAGAGCTACCAGTAAATTCCGAGAGAAATGATCATACTACAAGAACTTTATTCACAGCCTTTATCTTTTTGTATTTTTGATACGTTCATCCTTAGGTGATAATAAAGAATTTCACAAAGTTTCGTCTAATCCAGTCGAAATAAAATTGAATGCATATTTATGAAGAAGATCATATGGAATATTACTTTTTAATAGGGTCCATACTCCAAACATGAGTAATTATAAACAATTCCACCAAGTTTCTTTACAATCTGTCGAGAATCATGCCTTCTAGAGTGTTTACAAGCAAAAATTTGAACGCAATGGGCCTAATTCATATATAATATTTTTAGATTTTTTTTAATAGGATCATCATTGGGTAATAAATAAACAATTTCACCAAGTTTTGTATAAACAAAAAACAAATCGACACCGCATTTTTAAGGACAAGGGCATTAACTCATTATTGTACTGAAGTCTAAGAAAACGGACATTTTTATCTAAGCTAATCCGTAAAATAGTTTTTACATCGAACCGTCGAAATTTCAGCCTATATACATTTTTGTCCAGAAATGTCCGAATCTGAAGAGACTCTGACATATATAGAAAAGACATCTATGAAATAGGAAAAGAAATTCCTACTTTGAGGTATCTTTGAAAGAATTTTATCATTTCGTATATTTCTAGTACTTCTGAAGATAAGTTACATACATATGGACATAAGAGTCCATATCAACCCATCAAATCAATCTGTTCTTAGATGCCAGCTTTTTAGCACTCCGTCTAATACCTTGATACAATAAGGCCTAGGCACTATCCTGTTGTTATTCAAAAATGCGACGATTTGATTGGTTTGTACGCTAGCGGATACTTCCAATAAGAGCCCTCGACAGAAAGCCACATAGCTATGATTTCTCGTCTGCCTTGTGAACTTAACTCTGATTTACAGAAGACAAATGACTTTATTCACATTCCATAAAAAGTAGGAGAAATAATTGTGCATTTTCGCAAAAAGGAAAGAGATCATACATAAAGCGTATTGACCGACAGGTGTCGTAGGACTTTCAAACAGGAAAAGTATCTAGGGGTGTCAAGGTTATAGACGGAATTCGGTGCATCACCAAACACACATAACAACTTTGGCTTTAATGGTACAATAACCGTAAAAGTGGACCAAAAATGGTTATCTCATTGTAGCCTATATAACATATTAACTAGAATAAGTAAAGTTTGCGAACTTGGTCATAATTTGGTTACAGTTGGCAATTATCTTCATCTGTTCAAGTTCCCAAGACTTGACACACGAAACATGAAACCACGAAACAAGTCGATAGCGACCATTTACATATTAAAACAATTCTCTTTGGAAATTGAACAGCGTATCGTATATACCATTCCTTAATCTACACTTGCTTATCGTGACCAAGTCTATGTTTGACCCGGAGGATTCCTCAAAGAATTGCCTTATTAGCTACTATAAATTTCTCATAAGAAATAATAAAATAGCGATGGCTATCGTTATATACGCCCACCATTGTAATGGCGGCCAAGTCGTCTGGGAGGTTGACAAGAGCTACCAGTAAATTCCGAGAGAAATGATCATACTACAAGAACTTTTTCACAGCCTTTATCTTTTTGTATTTTTGATACGTTCATCCTTAGGTGATAATAAAGAATTTCACAAAGTTTCGTCTAATCCAGTCGAAATAAAATTGAATGCATATTTATGAAGAAGATCATATGGAATATTACTTTTTAATAGGGTCCATACTCCAAACATGAGTAATTATAAACAATTCCACCAAGTTTCTTTACAATCTGTCGAGAATCATGCCTTCTAGAGTGTTTACAAGCAAAAATTTGAACGCAATGGGCCTAATTCATATATAATATTTTTAGATTTTTTTTAATAGGATCATCATTGGGTAATAAATAAACAATTTCACCAAGTTTTGTATAAACAAAAAACAAATCGACACCGCATTTTTAAGGACAAGGGCATTAACTCATTATTTTTTTTTTCGATTTGTCTGATTTAGAGTATATCCGTGATTACAAAAGGTCACACAAGTTATGTCAAAACGCAGTCAATTTTTAGCTTGTAAACACTCTAGAAGATACAATCCTTGACGGATGTTGACGAAACTTGGTGAAATTGGTTATTATTGAAAACAAGTCTATAGATATTTAATATGAGTTATTGTCCTTGTTCTTCAAAACGCGCTCAATTTTTAGCTTGTACCAATATGTGAGCAGACTCTAAAACAAACAGTCTGACGCGAAACTTATGCTTGATTCAGCTTTAGCTTTAGGTAAACGAGGATGGCGAATGATTCCATGATCAATTTATCTAAGGGAAATAACTTTGAGAATGTAGAGTTTGTCGCGAGTTGATAAAAGTTGTTCGACGTGGTACAGTATTTATCGCTTTTCTGTGTTATTGACAATTGATAGAACTCAAAATTCAAGCCGGCAATGTCATTAATAGTGTAGATGACAGCTTTGGAATAAATTTCATTTGAAAAGATTATTGAAAATTTAAAAAACTATTTTACTTTTATTTTGTCAATGCCTTACGTAGTCTCGATCAAATAGTACTCAAAAGAATTCAGACCACAGCTAATTTTGGCATATTAAAGCTATCATGAAATTATCAGAAATAAATTCGTTAAATTGATATCATCATTTAATTATTCTCATGTTGAATACAAAAGGTTGAAATTTGTTTCATCTGCTGTTGAGAAACTTAATATTTTAAAAATAACATTGATTTGAATCCTCATACTTTCATTTGCTTATTTTAGAGGTTAGGGTGGTTGAACAGAAAGCACAAGCAGAGGGTTTAAGGCTTTAATGCTTTAATGCAGTTTTCACTTATGTAAGGTTAATATTTTAAAATAGAATTTCGCTTACATCAACTGTAGACCTATAAATCTGTTTTCCAGCATACATTGATAAAATGATAAGGCTATAAAGTATAGAGAATGTAAACTATATTAAGATGAGTATGGACAGTGGAGGTAAATTTGAAAACACTGGTTCTGTAAGAGATGTCAACAAGAAACTAGTCTTCTTGTTTAAAGCACCCAAAGATGAAGGAGAAGACAAATTTGTAAAGGTAAGTCTGGGAAGGTTTTTCCCAGAAGAGACACATACAGTGTTCAACAGACTAAAATCTTCTATATAATGTCAAGGACTTTAATGAAGTTTGAAAGTTTTTGGTTACACTTATGTCCTTTTTATTTCAATGAAGTAAGATTATGATATTTTTTTTAACTTTTTGTAGAGTGACCTCAGTTCAATAACAATACAATATCTAAGAGCAACATTTTTCCTACTATTCTTTTTGCTTACCAGGTGATGATGGATCTGAGAACGATCTGAGCTGTTGCTATTGTTCTAGTAGAGCTTGCTTCTTGATTTAGTCATCTCATTCTCCCTTTTTGGTGATTCCACAGATCTTATATTGCTCATTTAGGTTTGTAAACTCAGCATCCCCTTCGGAGAGACCTTATTGCTAATAATGTTTTTTTGGTATTTGGGTATGTCAGCTTGGCATCTACTTCAGCGAGTCCACAGATCTAACATTGTTTATCTGTTATTCAGTTTTGTCAGACTGATATGATATTGCTAAACTTTTTTTAATACAAATCATTATGCATAGCACAATGTAAATGCTACAAAATTTACCAAAGTCAATGACCAAAAAATGAGTTAGAAAATTATCATAGCAGGCTGACGTATCTATTCCAGATTCTGTCTGATGCAGGGTTTATTGTAGTTAGTCTACCGGTGCTGAGTTTTAATTTTATCAATACAGACCTTCTATCACAGTATTTAGAAAACTTACAGAAATATTCTGCTTTAATATTAACTAGTACAAGAGGTGTCGAGGCTGTTTCTTTTGCCCTCAATAACTGTAAGTATCAAAACATTATTAAAAGTGGACAGCCACAGAAACACTTCCTTAAAAACAAAGAACATAACCTTTCAACACAATTTACACGTGTCAGCATCAGAGGAAAGCAGAATTAAGAAGTGTACTCTCTGCATCTAAATGACGTTCAAATCTTAATACAGATAAATGTTTATCAATTTATCAAATTCCATGCATTTTGTCGGTATAAGGGTTGAGAGCCGACATTGGGCAGACTCTCAGAAACACAGGCACAGGCATCAGAATTTTTCTGTAGGGAAATAATTTATTGATTGGTTAAATATTTAATGCTCCAGAACATGGGATGCATAACAATTGTGTCAGATGAATCATGAGTGTGCGTCACTCACAAAAAAAAATAAAACAGAACATCCAGGTTAATCAAAATGAAATCAAGAGCACATCATGTCTGTAGACTTCCAAAATTTGTAAGTATAAACAATCTGATGACAACAGGTGTAATTCATGTTGAAGCTGTGTTTAATATTTTATTAAAGAAGTGTGCTTATTCCATAATATTGTCTTGTGTTTGTGATATGAAGAATAAAGAGCATTAAAAAAGTGGGAACATGTTATATGTTGGAATATATCATACAGTGGGGGAGCCAAAGGGGGGGGGCAGAGGGGGAGCCGCAGCCCCGAAAGCAAGTTTTTCCTGCAAAAATCTCATAACTAGGTAAGAGAATCGAGCAATTTCAGATATCTCGCCCACCCCCCTCAGTTGTAAACCTGGCTCTACCACTGATATTGTACTTGTTTTTCTAAATCTGTTATTTCTGTTCCAAAGGTTCCAAACTGTGTGATATTAGTCATATTAGTTGTTATGTAGTTGGTAAAACTACAGGAGAAGCAGGTAACAATCAGATTTTTCTTGATCTATTATTAATCTAACTTATTTCTGGAGTGTACAAAATATTAATCTAATCTAGTATATATTGAGATCTGCTTAAAATCCTAAGTGTTGAGAATTCTCACAGCCAAATATGACCAGGCCCAGTGCCCCAAAACATATCTTATGCTCAACTAAAGGCCCATTTTCAAGGGAAAGCAATGGGCCTTTAGTTTTTACTCAAATTTATTATACCCTCTCGTCATGATAAAATTTGAAGATTGATGTGTTTGAACTGATATTCTGTCTAATTGTAGCAAGTAAGTTAGGTTTAAAATGTAAGGGAGAAGACTCTGGTAATGCTGAAGAACTGCTGAAAATTATAGTTGCAGGTAGAAATTTAGTTTTATGTCATACTTTTCTGCACCATGGCAACGCCATTCAGGGTACAATGAGAGAAATTTTGCCAGGACAGCGGCATTAGCCTGCCCTTTTTTTTCATTTCCAACTGTCCAGGAATCTATAACATCCACAGCCTGTATTAAACAGGGCCTCGGTTTATTGTCCTGAGCTTCTGTAATTATAGAGATACTTAACAATGTATGATGTCAAGCACTATAACAAGAACTGCAAACATCTGCTTAAAATTTGGATGGTGCCATTCAATGCCTTATATAAATTAAAAAAAAAACAGACAAATCAGATGGATTATAAAAGTGATTCATATATTTTATTTCAGATCTAAAAGGAACTAGTCAACCTGTTTTATATCCCTGTGCCAATATTCGTAGAGATACAATTAGTACAACTCTTCAACAACATGGTTCGTTATATTTCCTTCTTAATTTAAAATCCACTATATAAATACTTTGAAGAGATTGTAGACAGGTCATCTAAATCTTTATATGTATCAGGGACACTGATCAATTTGCACCATTCCCATCTTCAGTCAAACATCTGTGGTTCGTGCAATATCACTAAAACTACAGGTTTTATAATGCTGCATAGATAGCAATATGTGTCATATATGTTTCAGCATTTCTATATCTGTATTGTTTGTTATGTATATCTGTATTGTTTGTTATGTATATCTGTATTGTTTGTTATGTATATCTCTTGTTTGTTATGTATATCTGTATTGTTTGTTATGTATATCTCTTGTTTGTTATGTATATCTTTATTGTTTGTTATGTATATCTTTATTGTTTGTTATGTATATCTCTATTGTTTGTTATATATATCTATATTGTTTGTTATGTATATCTGTATGTTTTGTTATGTATATATGCATTGTTTGTTATGTATATATGCATTGTTTGTTATGTATATATGCATTGTTTGTTATGTATATATGCATTGTTTGTTATGTATATATGCATTGTTTGTTATGTATATCTATAGTGTTTGTTATGTATATCTATATTGTTTGTTATGTATATCTATATTGTTTGTTATGTATACCTGTATTGTTTGTTATGTATACCTGTATTGTATGTTATGTATTTCTGTATTGTTTATGTATATCTGTATTGTTTGTTATGTATATCTCTTGTTTGTTATGTATATCTCTTGTTTGTTATGTATATCTATATTGTTTGTTATGTATATCTGTATGTTTTGTTATGTATATCTCTTGTTTGTTATGTATATCTCTATTGTTTGTTGTGTATATCTCTATTGTTTGTTATGTATATCTTTATTGTTTGTTATGTATATCTGTATTGTTTGTTATGTATATCTATAGTGTTTGTTATGTATATCTGAATTGTTTGTTATGTATATATGTATTGTTTGTTATGTATATATGTATTGTTTGTTATGTATATCTCTATTGTTTGTTATGTATATCTGTGTTGTTTGTTATGCATGTGTTGTTTGTTATGTATACATGCATTGTTTGTTATGTATATCTGTTTTGTTTGTTATGTATATCTGTATTGATTGTTATGTATATCTTTATTGTTTGTTATGTATATCTATATTGTTTGTTATGCATATCTGTGTTGTTTGTTATGTATATCTATATTGTTTGTTATGTATATCTGCATTGTTTGTTATGTATATCTGTATTGTTTGTTATGTATATCTATATTGTTTGTTATGTATATCTGTATTGTTTGTTATGTATATCTATATTGTTTGTTATGTTTATCTGTATTGTTTGTTATGTATATCTGTATTGTTTGTTATGTATATCTGTATTGTTTGTTATGTATATCTGTATTGTCTGTTATTTATTTCTGTAGGTATACAATATGAGGAGATAATTGTCTATGAAACAGTAAAAAATCAAAACATAGATCAACTTGTGGAAGAAGCTGTTCAAAAACAGGTCAGTTTAATTGGTTCTTATTTGTCCTAGCAAGGCAAATATTCTTTCAAGCTTGTCGGTTTTTTTTCAAATTATATTCCTGGAGAAAATGTAAATGTTAGAAATTAGACATTAAATTTTGGTTGTAATATATTTTGTAAAATAGGAAGTGGCTTGTCGATTTAGTGAGATTTCATTGGGTCAATTCAAATTCTAAACAATGACATTGATTTCTGAAACACCATGGACTAAAAAATTGGATCCATACTTAAATGATTTATCTTAGTTTTGTTTTGTTTTGTGAAAACTGACAAATCATTCCATCTTGTGAAACATAAAGATAGTCTAACATTTACATTTCAAAAGTATAAGAAATTACTTGCAAAATAGACGCACAGTCAATAGATATCCCAAGAATGATTTTGAATGATCTTTACGGGTTGACATTTTTACAGTATTGATATGTTTTCTAATTGCAGGGTTGTCCAGAATATATTGTGTATTTTAGTCCTTCAGGTGTGAAATATACCCAGTCTGTCTTTCAAAATAAACTATTATATACCCATCAGAGTAAGGTAGGGAAATATCTATTCTAACAATAAACAGGGTGGTTCACATCTTCACACGCTTCATCTTATACCTTAACTTCAATAGCCACCTTTCTTGTGTCACAGACAGCGATTTGATTGGTAGCAAAACAATCAATCAGAGGCCTTAACCATTATGTTTACAGTCTTTTTGATGAGGGCTCCGATTGGCTGTATTTCTAATCAAGTCTCTGCATTCAAGAAACAAGAAAGAGGTTTGATTCCAGCAAAGGCCAAAATTGAGAAATTGTTTAAGCCAGCCCCCCTTGTCAGTGATGCAGGTAAAAGGAGATGACTCTTAGTAGCTTTGACTGGACAACAAACTGATGTCCCTTGTGCTACAGACTGTGCACATTAGTTGGAAACTTAAGAAAAAATGGCTTATGCAGCTGTCTTGGCATTGCCCATCTTCATTAGTCAAATCAGTATGACTCCATTCATTTCATTTTCGTTATGAAATCTAAAGCTGATTGCCTCCCTTTCTGTTCCAGTTTATAGCTATTGGGCCTACTACAGAGAAAGAGTTAAAATCCCAGGGGTTTACCATATTTGGTGTTGCTGAAAAACCTGAACCAGAAGCATTATTAGAAATTTTACACGAAACTTTATTTTAATAAATTGATGTGAGGTGTGACACTATAAGTGGACACTCAAACATGTAGGCTATGCATGTCTCTTATTTTATCTTTCTTTATCATACTTCCAGATGCTATAATATATACATCAGGCTAAATGTATAAAATATATAGCTTATATTGTTATAACTAGCCTATACTTATAATTTGTTATTGTTTTATTTGTATTAAAAATCAGTATAATTATATAATGGCTTTTAATCAATTAAGAAATCTTATAATCTTGTGCTAGGCGCTTGACTCTTGTGCTAGGCGCCCGATTCTTGTGCTAATGATTCGTGTCTTAGAATTGGGCTGTTTGGTCTACAATATGGCCTATGGTTAATTGAAATTAGTTTAGTTTGAGAAACGGCAATTTCTTCAGCTAATCCAATCAGTATTCAGTAGTCGAAATTTGAGCCTTCAAATCCAAAGTTAAAAAGACGAGTCGTCTCTTTTGAGACAATGTCATACATATAAAAGACATCTATAGAAATAGAAATTCCTGGTTTGTAGTTAACAATAATTGAGTCCACTCAATACCAGCTATTACGAACTTCATCTTATACTTTGACTGCTGTAGACAACTTGCTTATATCACAATATTCAGCGATTCGATTGAATTGTACACGATCTAATCAGCGCCCTTCAGAGAAATACTGTAGTCATTATTTACAGACTTTCTGTCGCGATCTATCATTGGCTGTATTCGATAACGTACAATCCAATCAAATTGCTACATTTACAATCTTCCGCGATACAAGAATAGTGGTTATTGCTGTCAAGGTAAAAAGACGAAGTTCGTAATAGTTTGACATTGTAAAGATGCAACCACCCAAGCCCAAGTCCTCCCATGTCTACCCAATTGTCTGTGTCTCTCCAGACACATCAATCCATTCCACGGCTAGATAGCACATAAAAAGAAAGAAAATGAAAATAAAATTTTATTGGAAAACATTCATAAATCTTGACACAGGCACAATTTTTTTAGATAATGTTGAAGTTAATATTTGCGTCGGTACATTAGATTTAGTTTTTAAATAATTAGTTCAATTAAGTGTCAGAATTAAATCTGAAAATTGAAATATAGTCTGAAGAAGTTACAACCAAATTAAGTTCAGACACAAAACAATATTACTTCGTCTATTGACAGTAATGTAAAAACCAATATTTACTTCTCAATATTAATACAAATCATTATATTATTGATCATTAGGAGACAGGATTCAATTATAATACCCCCCGCCCCCCTCTTTATTACAAGATCATACTTATGATTGTATTCGTAGCCTAAGTGAAATATACAAATATATGTTATAGCGTGCAAAGTAAACGGACAGTCAAGAATAAATTGTCATAACATTTGATTTTGTTGGTGATTTGTATATTGTATTTTGTCTTAAAATTATATGTTGTAGCAATATATTTAATGGCTTTATACAGCACCATTAAGCATAATAAAGTGACAAGCGACACACAAACATATTTCTCGCGTTACATCTCATTTGTCGATACAAAACATGGCTTTAGAAATCTCTCCTGCCCTCAATTCTGTCAAAGCCGTTTCGTATTGCTCCAGCGAATATTTCTTTATGCCTAATTTATCAAACTTCAAATAATTGGCCGCCATGTCGTTAACCAAACTTACAGCTTTGATGAAACAGTAGGGACTTACATTGACCCCTAGTATTTTCAACTCTCGTGTCTGAATCAAAGACGGGTCAATCGTCAGCTTGGAATTAGCAGGAGAACAACCAAAAACCAGAAGAGTTGCACCGGAGCAGAGAAGACCATACGCCATTTCCAAAGCTCGAGGGTTGCCCGTACAGTCCACCACTATATCAAATCCATCTTCTCCCATATTGGCGTTCTTGAACTCTGCTTGAAGATCGTCGGGGTGTAAAACTCGGTATCCCAGACCAGAATTTGATACAATCTGACGTCTGCCTTCCGATACCTCAACAACCGTGACGTCACGGAACCCTCTGTAATGCAGCATGTTGATCCAAAGTTGCCCGATGATTCCAGATCCCATTACAAGCATCCTGGTTCCATCTGGAATCTGCCCCAGTATTTCGTATCCATGGACCACACACGCCATCGGTTCCACTAAAGCTGCCTTGTCCATGGGTAACGCTTCTGGAAACTTGACGACATATTTAGCTGGTACAAGACAATATTCCGCCATTCCACCATTTTGCATGAGGCCAATGGTATCAGGTAAGCATTTCTGACAGCAATGAGGTTTTCCTCTTCTACAGAATCTGCAAGTATCACACATTGAGTTCGGTTCCACCACGACCTTGTCTCCAACTGCGACATTGTTGACGCCAGTTCCAACCTTGACGATAGTTCCCGAGAATTCATGACCAAGGATAACAAGTTGTCCTGAGCGGAACTCGTGCTGCATGATATGAAGATCAGTTCCACAAACTCCACAATGGGAAACTTTTAACAGGACAGTCTCAGGCTTCACCTCCGGTACTGGTGCCTCCACCATCTTCAATGTCGATTGAGATTTATTCCACTGTAAACCCTTCATCCTGTAAAGATACAACCAAGTTTGACCAGTTTGTAAGAAGATTTAAAATAATGTGTAAAGGAGAATTCAGTTCGCTTAGTTTTGAATTCCTCGGTAGCCTTGATCCCTATCGAACTCCCTATAATGTAATTTGGTATCTATGTCAAGGGCATGGAAACTTGGGCGTATAAGTCCTAGCATGTTTTATGTTGGTGTTTGGGGGGACGGGGATAGGCCTACAACATTCACATCACAGCAACTCAGAATGTGATCAATCTGAGTGCACTAACCTACGGTGGCCCGTTGACGACATTGGTAAATTTGGTCGTTTCTCCAAATCAAGGCAAAACTTCACAATTTCGAGAAACGAATGCATTGATATTCGAAACATGAAAAAAAAGGTGAAAAAATAACAAGCATAAGCGTACGGGCCGAAGTCCTGTTAGAGACACAGGCTGGTTTGCCCGAAATTTTTCCAAGAATTTTGCGTGTATTTCTCTTTGTTTTCGGGTTATTGTCCGATATTTTTCCACATAGCTACTAATAATAAAAAATAATCCTCTGAAATCAGTTGACCGGAGTAAGTACATTGAATCCCGTAGACAATGAGAGCATGGTTTGATCGGTGTCTTGAATCCTCCGCTATCCTGCAGGGTCATTTGAGACTTGATATTCGCGAATTGGAAAGTACGTTTTTCTGCAATAAACAAAAATAAAATTGCAATGTTTTTATTACGTATAACGAAACGAAACTATAAATAAATCTTGTTCTTTTTCAAAATGCAAATGTTTAGCAATCCGGCTGTGGCGAGTTTGAACGTGAATTAAAGTGCGCCATGTTATTTTTTTTTTTTTAATTTTACTTGTGGGTCGGCGACTGAATTTTCGACTTTCTGTTGTAAAATCCTCAAATTTTAAGTACATCGCTAACTAGCGTAGAGGCAGGAAATCTAGATGCTCATTTTATTGCAATATTACAATACTTAAAATTCGAGGAAATTTAAATTTAGGTCATATAGGCTATGCAACCTTCAGCCTACAGATCTATTTACCTTTTAACAACAGAAAGTCGAAAACGCAGTCGCCAACATTATCTCACAAAAAAATAACACGCCGCGCTTACTTTAATTCACGTTCAAACTCGCCACAGCGGGATTGCTAAACATTTGCATTTTGAAAAAGAACATGATTTATTTATAGTTTCGTTTCGTCATACGTAATAAAGACATTGTAACTTTTTATTGTAGACTGCATCAGAAAAACGTGCTTTTCTATTCGCGAATATCAAGTCTCAAATGACCTGGGCGGGATGGCGCCTTCGGCGGAGGATTCAAGACACTGTGGTTCGATCGTCACCTATAAACTCAAAATTCATTTTCATACTCAACGATTTTTGCAATTGCAGTCATGTACAGTACTCGTATTTCTTGGCGATTTCTTAATGTGATTTTCGAGTTTTCATTGCTCTTTTTTTCCTTTTTTGTAAGCCAAAAATAGAATTACAAACTACAAAATACATCGATATCTCTTGATGTCCTACACGAGCCACCGTACTTACCTGTACATATACAGCACTTTACCTATGAATGAATAACTGCTAATATAACTATAAGTATCTGTTTATGTTGATATCACTAACTAGTACAAGGCTGAATTCTGATACAAATAAGTCAAGTTAGATACATTTGTGCACACAGCACTAAAATGACTAATCCTCCCAAAAGCGACGAGGACAGCCATGACAGGCACGTGATATAAAGTTTAAAATGTCAAGGAAATGCATCGTGTATAATAAAAGCAGAAAGTAACATTGAACTAGTTATGAACAAATTCATTAAAATGCAAATATGGATGTTTCGTTTTGTGTTTAATCTGCGGGTTATTCCACTATGTATCCTTCAGAAAAATACGAAACGAAATTTATAATAGAAAGGCCTAGGTTATATTCCAATCTGTCGAAAATTATCTTATGTGGGCAAATGTATAGACCAACGTTTTTTACATACAAAATTATCATATTGTGATTTGACACGATAATATTCTGAAGATACCGAGAGATGTGCCGTCATTATTATCGGGGCAAAATGGGTCATATTGATATCAGTGATTATACTACACACGGGCTCTGTGAATATTCATTTATACCTTTTTACGGGCTATAACTATACATAGATTATAAAGAGCAGTAATTTTTGCAGGTGAGTGCATCGTGGTAATTATACATATACATGTAATCGTTTGTATTCAGTGTCAGAAACTTGCCTTCGGGCCTGCGAGCTGATACCCTAAAAAGTCTGTTAAATTAAATTTCGTGTTCACATACAGTACAGCAATTAACTATTCCCACGATCAGGCAGTGGCGGCGAGGGGACCAATTTGTTGCTCATTCCCCTGGTTACATTCCATGCTCCCTAAATTTTTAAAACTAGCAAGAAGTTAGATAGGGAACACGGTTACCGAGGAATTTAGAAAAAACGAAATGAACTTCATTTTAAATCTTCGTACAAACTGGTCAAACTTGATTGTATCTTTACAGGATGAAGGGTTTACAGTGGAATAAATCTCAATCGACGTTGAAGATGGTGGAGGCACCAGTACCGGAGGTGAAGCCTGAGACTGTCCTGTTAAAAGTTTCCCATTGTGGAGTTTGTGGAACTGATCTTCATATCATGCAGCATGAGTTCCGCTCAGGACAACTTGTTATCCTTGGTCATGAATTCTCGGGAACTATCGTCAAGGTTGGAACTGGCGTTAACAATGTCGCAGTTGGAGACAAGGTCGTGGTGGAACCGAACTCAATGTGTGATACGTGTAGATTCTGTCGAAGAGGAAGACCTAATTGCTGTCAGAAATGCTTACCCGAGGCTATTGGCTGCATGAAAGATGGTGGAATGGCGGAATTTTGTCTCATACCAGCTAAATATGTCGTCAAGTTTCCAGAAGCGTTACCTATGGACAAGGCAGCCTTAGTGGAACCGATGGCGTGTGTGATCCATGGATACGAAATTCTGGGGCAGATTCCAGATGGAACTAGAATGCTTGTAATGGGGTCTGGAATCATCGGACTGCTTTGGATTCACATGCTGCATTACAGAGGATTCCGTGACGTCACGGTTGTTGAGGTATCGGAAGGCAGACGTCAGATTGTATCAAATTCTGGTCTGGGATACCGAGTTTTACACCCAAACGATCTTCAAGTAGAGTTCAAGAACGCCAATATGGGAGAAGATGGATTTGATATAGTGGTGGACTGTACGGGCAACCCTCGAGCTTTGGAAATGGCGTATGGTCTTCTCTGCTCCGGTGCAACTCTTCTGGTTTTTGGCTGCCCTCCTTCTAAATCCAAGCTGACGATTGACCCGTCTTTGATTCAGACACGAGAGTTGAAAATACTAGGGGTCAATGTAAGTCCTTACTGTTTCATCAAAGCTGTAAGTTTGGTTAACGACATGGCGGTCAAATATTTGAATTTTGATAAATTGGGCATAAAGAAATACTCTCTTGAGCAATACGAAACGGCTTTGACAGAGCTGAAAGCGGGAAATATTTCAAAAGCAATGTTTTGTATTGACAATTGAAGGTTTTTTTTCGTTTCCGGATAATCTGGACATTAAAATTTGAATTATTGTAATGGATAAATACACTTGAACAATAGAATTCTGTGTTCAATTTATATACCGTTTTATTATAGCTTTCTTTTTTAAAAAAATTGGCTTTAATATAAACTGTTTAATGTAGCGTATGCAGATCTACAGATTTAGAATAGTTACTAAAGTCAAGGTTAGACTTTGATACAATTTTGAATATGTGACTATCGACAACGTTATACAAGAATATATTTTTAATGCTTAATTAGAACTTAACGATTTGAAGTCGCATTAGGCTAAAACTCTGGCTTAGGACAACTTCTACTCGATGTATTTCATTATACACGACAGTGGTGGAGCCAAAGGGGGTCTTCCTCGAAGCCCCGAAAGCAAGATTTTCGGGCAAAAATCTCATAACTAGGTTAGAGAGGATTCGATTACATGATCCGCACGTGATTATCGACATAATGGCATCTCGTGTGTCCGCAGTCGGTCGGCGAAACTCATGACTAGACTAGAAAAGTGCCCTATTCGGTGTAGCCTACGGTGTGGAATAATCGATACAAACGGAAATAGAAGAAGTGAGCACACGAGGTACGGTTCGGGACACAGTGCGGATGTGAGTCGTTTCTTCTATTTTCTGCTGTATCGACAATCCCACACCGGACACCTCCTCATCTTTTCGCACCTTAATTCTGAAGACAAAATATTTCAAGATCCAAATCAACCCACGGAAATGGCAAACCTGTCCCGTTAAATCTAACATGCATCGGAGAGAGAAAGTGAGAAGCCGTTTACTCCTTTGTCATGTTTAAATTTGGTATTGTGTAGTTAGATAAGAGAATAAAAGTTCAATTGTCGTAAATACACATGTATATATTATAGGGATACTACGTCTTAGAATAAACATAAAATTTAATTTTTTTAAATTTGGACAATAAGAGCATATATTCATCAGTATATATACCTGGTGTCATAAATAACATAACAGGATCCATATATTATATAATCCAATAAATCCAAAAAACTTTACAAAAATGCAATTAACTATTGAAAAACGCTTGATATTATGATTAAGCCTTTTTCAATAATTACTAAGTTTTATGAATTTCCAATTTTCCAGATTTGACAGGGATTCTGTTGTAACTTTATGACACCAGGTAAGTTCACTGATAAATATATACTCATATTGACCATTCTTGAGAATTAATTTTATGTTCATTCTAAGACGTAGTATCACTTTAAGTTGGTGCTTACAAAAACGTACATTTAACTAATATTGTATAGCCTACGCCCACATTTACGATAATGCAGTGGCGGTGCCAGCCTCTCTGAAAATTACAACTTTCTAAATCGTTCAGGAGGCTTTTCAGAAACAGCCATGACAGGCACTCCAACTGGAAAAACATACATTTAAAATAATTCTAATGAATTTGATTTTAGGCATTGCATTCAGAAAAAGAGGTTGATTGATATGCGATGGATACACAATATTATTGCCTTATAATATAGGTCTTAGTTAATTAAAAGTTTGTTTCTATGAACTCTGGGATGAGATGACATCTGTTGAGAACGACGTGTCCACTTCATTAACAGAATTCACAAAAATGAATAACTTTCCTTATTGGCAGTTTTGTTTATTGTTTATTAAGTTTTTGTATTTTTATTAAATACTCCTTATAAAGTATATAAACAGGTCAAATTTTACCAGAATCATTCACCAACTTCGTCGATTCTATTCTTCAATAGACCGGTTAACTAAGATGGCACCACGACATATTTTACTGATTGTTCTAGCTTTCATAGCTATCATCGAAATCTCGACTAGCAGTTTCAGTTCCAAAAGTAAGATTTTATACTTATCTTAGTTACTTTTCCATATGTAAGAGCAGGCGTTTATTACCTTTTTCTTTCTATTACGCCTTTAAGGATCGTTGATTGATTGCAGCACCGACTTCCCATTATTAATCCTTATTTTTTATGATTTCCTCTTATGTTTTCCCTGCAATATTTCTTTTCATGTTGGAAAATATAGTCTGAATGAATAGGTCGACTTAAAATATTTCGAAATTGTTATGCGAGGCCACAAAGCGCCTTATTACCCCCTAAAGATTTTAATATGATGGGAGGGGGGGGGGGTGTTGAAAAAATTCTGACAACCGACCAATTCCATCACTGCAACTAAACACATCATTGCCTCTCAGAACAATCAAATCTGTCTACGGGCCTGTTGTCGCTAATGGGGGATGCTAATGTTCGACAATCTGGTCTGCGTAAGGCTTTGGAGACGCTATACAATTTCGGCCAACTAACATCTTATTGAATGGCAGCTAGCTTGCCAGAATAAAAGTCGTAAAGAAACGTTTATTCTGTAAAAATAGATGTGAACTGTGAATTCGCAGATTTTTGTAATTTTTACGACTTTCTCTCTAACAACATATCTGTTAGCGGTGTATTCATTTTTTCTATATACAGACTGGCGTCTATGTCGAAGATTGCCTTCTCTTGGTAATGGACAAGTTACCAGAAAAGGAAGGAGCGAGATCGTCTATGATTGCAACCCTGGGTTCGGATTAGCAGTAACGGCTAACTGTCGCGGTCGTGAGTCTTGGACTCCACGTGTCAAGTGTGAAGGTACGAACATTGTAAAATCAGCGAAGCATTAACTTGTTTCGAAATGCATATACACATTAATGATATATCAAAAACATAGAAGCTACAAAAGACAGCCCTCGAAGTCAGCCTTTAAGATCAAGCCCTCGGATTCAAATCGGATGTTCCATTGAATTTTGAGCTTCACTTTAACAGTAAAAGTATTGTGGCTTTTCAGAGATTTTGTTTCGTATGCTGGTCTTCATCGGTGGTTTCTTTTTGCCGCATTGCCCAACATGCCGCATCGTGCCCAACTGCACAAAATCACTTGTTAAACGAAACTAAAGGTTTCTGATGAAATCTGGAATGGCCATTTGTTTCACATGAAACGGAATATTTTAATCTATTTTATTTATTATTTGGACCTGTTAGGGAAATCTAAACTATAGTTAAAAAATGGTAAAATCTGGAATAAAATAAATACCAAGTACAAACGACTTGTTAAACGAAACTAAAGGTTTCTGATAAAATCCGGAATGGCCATTTTTTTTCACATGAAACGGAATATTTTAATCTGTTTTATTTATAATTTGGACCTGTTAGGGAAATCGAAACTACAGTTAAAAAATGGTAAAATCTGGAATAAAATAAATAACAAGTACAAACGATCAGAATCGCAATACAAAATACATAAATCCATAAAACGAAACAAGACAAGTTAAATAAATGAAATATTGCTCATAACTAAGTTCGCGCGCCTATAACGTTACCCATGTGCTAGAAAAAATGGCAACTGAAATGTCTGAAAGTAAAAATCTTCTGAATAGTAAATCAGAATTATCAAGCGAGGAAAAGTTTAAAATTCTCGTATTAGATGTGCCCTATAATTCGGCAGTGCATGGCTCAACCCCCACTGGTTCTAGATAAGTCCCAGAATGTCCTGGTGGACAAGGTAGAAGCTGGGGTTGATTGGCTCCACACTACAGTCGGCAATTGGAGACAAAAATAGACGAACCTGCGATTGTTTAGAAAAAATGACAGTTCAGACATAGGATGGATCCACAGGAAAATAAGTATTGCGGAATCTAAAACCATGAGCGGTGAGGGTTATATTTTGAAAACTCAGTATTGTCACCATAATAGCGAAGAGTATGCCTCTGTAAAAAGGCACAGTACGAGTCTTGAAACTATAGTTTCAATTTCCTTAACAGGTCCAAATTATAAATAAAAGAAAATCGATGCGGGACAACAGATTGAAATATTTCGTTTCAAGTGAAACAAATGGCCATTCCGGATTTTATCAAAAACCTTTAGTTTCGTTTTACAAGTCGTTTTCGTACAGTTGGGCACGATGCGGCAAGTTGGGCAATGCGGCAAAACGAACCCACCGTGGCCGAGGCCACTTTAGTCTGATCCATTTGTTGTTGTACTCTCTTGATATTTTCTCAAAAGAGTGACAAGAATAATGAGAACACAGGACATTAAACCCAATCCAGTAGATAAATAATATACCATATTATATGATTTGGTGGCATCTTTTATAGCACCTGAAATGAAAAATAAATTATGTCAAATGTCCCAGTAGGCTATAGTAATATCATATAAAATTAGAAACCTATACATTTAATTGCAGTGAGTATAAACCATAACACTAATTTTCCACAATTCCCATGCTGCTGTTCAAATAATGAAATTCAAAATATGTATATCACCTGCAAGCGGGCCACCGAACATTCCTGCAACTCAACCAATAAAATTGATGTATCCTAGAGCAGTTGAATACATCTTCAGTCCCGAAATATCCATGACAATGGCAGGATAAAGTACAGCACAGTTGCCCCAAAAAAAGTCCAAACAAAATACAAATTACAAGTAACTGATTATAGGTTTCGAAATATGCAAATGCCAAAACTGTCACAGAACACAAGAAAAGGAATAGGGGCCAAATTGTCATTCGTTTGCATTTCAAAAATGACGATATAACAGTTAGTAAAACTCTGCCTCCGATACTTGCAAATCCATTGATAGACAATAAAAAAGGACCATCTTGAACATCAAAATGGCGACTTCTCATCATATCAACAAAAAACGTATTTAGAGTTGTGAATAAAATGGTCCTAATAAAACAATTCAATGAAACCACCAAGAAAGCAGGCTTCCAGCACACTTCACAGTTCAACAATGATTTAAAATCAGTCTTCTGTATGCCAACTAATTGTTCTCGCCTCTTCCTGAAAAACATAATCAGGATACCAACTGGAACACAGTTGAGGAAATATGCACCAATAATCAAGAAGGTTCCTCTCCAACCGAATACTTCGTTCAAGACGGAAATCAGAAATGGAAAATAGACATTGCCAACTCCTATAAATACACTGACAACAGTAACCATGGTAACCCTTCTTTCTTCAAACATTTCACCAACCACAGTGAATGGGAGCAAGAAGGTAAGTGACAGACCAATACCTACAGCATATGATAACAAATTATGTATTAAAATTCATTTTCAAGCTATTCAGACTTCGCCAGAAGGTTGCCAAATACCATTTCCGAAGTTTCCGAAGCTGTCCCTGAAGTTTGTTAATATGTTTTACCATTAAATGTGAAATCGTTTCGACTAAGACAAATCTCTAAAAGCTGTAGAATTGCATCGTCGGGTCTGTTTGGATCTGGGTTTCTATTAAAAGCTTTACGAACTGTCGTTAAACCAGTAGTGTTATCGATATTGGCATACATAGAAGAAACGTCGATAGAAATTAGAATAGCATTAGAAGGAAGTCGAAGATTTTTTATTTTATTGACAAAATCGGTTGTGTCTTTAAGATAGGCGCGATGATGACATGCTAGAGGTAGTATAATTGTTTATAACCCATTCGACTACTGATCAACAAGAATTACCATGATCAGAACGAGTTTGGAAGAATGAAGGAGATCGAGTAACTCACGCCACACCATCCAGGGCCGAGTTTCACCGCCATGTCATTCGATCCGACCAGATCTAACGAAGAATCAACAACCAAACCAACAACACAGAATCATCCAATTTGAACCAATCCAACTACCAACTACTACGACTACCAACAACTACCTAATTTGCGATATTAGCATCCGCTGGAAGCGAACGTTAACTTGTAATCTACCAACTAACCAACGAAGAAGGGGCAGTGACTTGAAATCCAGGTTACGGGGGTGGGGAGTTGCCCACTGGACAATTAAGACCTCTAAATGCTCAATATTCAGGCCATCTAAAATCCCCCGGCTTTTCGGCATGCTCTTTCGTTAACTTAAGGAAATCGATTTAAAAAAAAATGGGCCATGGTCTAAAATTTTCCGCCTAAATATACCACTGAATAGGGCTTTTATGTGAGTCCAAAGCCAATGGTGATGACGTATGTAGTAAATAATTTATTCCTATCAAAAGTGTGTGTTTTTTTTCTATGGCATTTTCAGTCTGTAACAAATTACTTCTGAATGGAACATTTATAACTCTTTGCAAAAAAAATACATTTTTAAATTCAAAATATTTAAGCATTAAACAATGATATAAAGGTGTTCTATCGTTACTAATTTATTTATTAGTGCGAAAGTGCGGCAACAATAATGGCTGCTTTTCGTCTGCAAGGTGCGCGTAAGTGCGCATGCGTGTAATATGGGATGATGGCGGAAGCTACACCCAATAAAGGTTTTCCTGGAGATTGGAAGAAATTAGGGGATAAAGTACAAGATGCCAATACTCTCAGGCAGGAGGCTGTTAGTGCACAGCACGACCACCTTATTACAGAAATTGAAACTTCTGAAGGACCCCTAGCAACGACACTACGGTAAAGAAATAGTGGCCAAAATGTCACACCTCCTTTCCACCTAAGGCAAAACAGATAAATCAAATGAAAACATTGCATTTGACACCGGTAGATGGAAAACATATAATAACCAATACCCTTGTTATTCACAAACTCTGTGCTACAGAGGCAGCCTGTTATTAAGAATACACAGAAAATGTGTCATTATAGAAGGACAGCAGCCTATTCATTGTTCTCTATTTCACTTTCAGACTTCAGTTTCTTCAGTGATTTTATTAGCCCTTCATCATGCCCATACTATTTCAAAAAGGCTTTTGCTATCATAAGGCTAAAGGTGCAAATAAAGGATAGTAGAATTCCAAACTCATTTCATTTCCTTTTGAACTCTGTCTTAGTAACAAATTTTGTCCATATAGTAAAACTGGTCTTAGTAAATTCAGACAAGTGCTTCATTTTGTTGTCTTTAGCCTCGGAACAGGAATTTTTAGCTAAGTTCACCGTTGATATTTGAGCCTTCAAATCCATGTTTGTCTAGAAATATTCGCGTTTGAATGTTAAAATAACGACTCGTCATTTTAAAATATTCTGTGATAAATAGAAAAGACATTTATAGAAATAGTGTGTAAAATTAAAATTACTAGTTTGATAGTTTGAAGTATTTTTAAAATAATTATGCTATTTCCGTAAATCATACTTGTGAAGACTATTTACATATATTCAAGACTAAAAATCAACCCCCAAAAATGTCGCAACTGTTCCATTAATGGTGTACATTTCAATTATGGAAATGATGCTAGAATAAAGCAAACAGTGAGCAAAATTAGCCTGAATCACTGACACAAATAGATACATCACCATAGAAACATCTTTCTAGTGGCTTTAAGAGGAAAAGTTTGTCAGACCTTAGGTAATAGTCAAACTTTGATAGTTTTTTGTTATTTATATATTTTCAGAGCTGTTTACGATGGGGCTGAGTTAGAAAAGTTTCTGGATAAACTTGATACACGAATAAAAGGCCATGATAAAGAAATTGAACGAATGTGTAATTATCATTATCAGGGATTTATAGATTCTATCAGAGAGTTACAACAAGTCAGTGGTGATGCAGCTAAATTAAAGGTCTGTGGTTTCAATAGCTTGAAAAAAAGTCAAGTTTTTGCTTGTTGATTGAAGCACACATAATTGCTAAGCAGAGGTGTTATCTGATTATTTGATGTTGCATTTTTAATAAACTGAGGCTCTGTGTCAGATATGAATTACACATTTAAGATCCTTCAAGCAGGGGCATATCTAGAAAATGCCTGAGGAGGGGACCAACAATGCACGGTTTCTTTCCAAGGCAAGGCTCACATGTCCAAAGCCCCTTGAAGCCAATGGATTTTAGATGGCCTTAGATGAAATTTGAGCATGTAGTGGGCTTAATTTTCACTTCAAATTAGACCTGTTACAGGCTCAAGGGGGAGGCCATGGCCCAATGACCCATCCCCATACGCTACTTCCTTCAACAATCAGAAATCAAAAAAGGGTAAGCCAATATCAATGTTTTGAAAAAATATCATTCTTTGCTCACTTTGTGGCGTTACCACAATCAGACGCAAGAAAAGGTCGTAAAAAAGGATTGTAAAGAGGTTTTCTATGTGTATCGGGGACACTGATATTTTCAATCAGATGTTTCTGCAATTCCATAAAAAAAAGTGTTTGATGATGTCACTAATCACAAAATATGCATATCATATGAAGCCTTCGTTCCATTTCATGTATCATTCATTCTACCAAAGTTTGTTTGAAAGTTGTGATGGGAATATTGATAGGTAACTATAAGTTTTGAAATATGAAGGGTTTTTCTCTGTATTTAGGATGATATTGGTGGTGTGGATAAAGAGTTACAGAAATCCTGTCAACTGTTATTAAAACGTGGTGATGAACTCGTACGATGTCGACAAGTACAGAAAAACATTACAACTGCTATAGATAACCTGTCTTTATCACTTCCAGGTAGGGTGTTTAACTTATTGGAAAAAGGAAGTTTGAAAAGAAAGTTCATTTCCTTTATAGGGGCAGATACGCCATTTTTTTTCGAACCATTCATATTGAACCATTCAGTAATAGTGTTAACAGCTCACCGTCGAAAGTGGAGCATTCGAATCCTTGTGTGTTCAGAAGTATCAGCATTTGATCATGTATAAATGACGACTTAAGACACTCTGTGAGATATATAGAAAAGACATAATATAGAATAGTGACTGTGAGTAAAATTTCTTGTTTGAAGTAATTTTAAAAGAATTATCTTATTTTCGTACATTACTAGTACTGAAGACTATTCATATATATTCAAGACTAAAATCAACCCTCCACTATCCTTTTAAGTGTTATTTCGTTCCACTTTTCTAGAAGAAATCATTGAGAACATACATCTTGTCACAATTTGTTCCATTAATAGAAACCTTGTCCAAAGTATGGCAAAATCGAGAGTAAAAGTTGTATAGAAGTGGACTCTTTCATTAGAAGTACCATCAAGTGTTTAATAAAGATTAAGCCTGGTCCGCTTTGCATTCGACACCTGCCACTACTATATAGGTCAACATCATGAGATACAATCAGATCAGAAAGTGTACATAATTCAAACAAGCCCTAGAATACCAGATGAGTTGTGAAACATACATGTTACCAGGGCTCTGTTCTTACGATTGCCTTTATCTTTCAGTGCTTGAGATGTACGGTAAATTACAAGAACAAATGAAGCATAAAAGGTAAAGTAACGGGTTGAAGCTGTAACCTTGGCATTGATTAGACAAACCTTGTCATACCCTTTAGTAACGGCATTGGGGCGGTCGATCTAGATTCACAGGCTTAGGCTGTACCTATTGCAGGAATAAGTGATGTATGTGAATACAATAGAGTCTAGTTTGATATTGTAATTTGATATTTATATTGTTATTGTAGATATTATCCTGCCCTAAAGACCCTAGAACAATTAGAACATACTTATCTTCCACGAGTTATGACCCATTGGTTTTCACAAACTATGTCAAATGCAATACCTAAACTTCGAGAACAAATTAAAGTGGCTTCCATGTCAGAATTAAAAGACTTTCTGGAGAGTATTCGGAAGAATTCAGCAAAGATTGGAGAAGTTGCTATGAAACATGTAAGTAGTCTGATTGTCAGGTTTGAATTGCCAATATTCAGCAAAGTATGCAGTTTATTGCAGAGACGACAAAGGTTCAAGTTTCTTGTTCTTGTATAATACACTGAATCGGTCTGATAAATTAAGTACATTAGTGACAGTTTCCAAATCCTACCCACTAAAATTTGGGGTTTAAAGGGATTGTAAAGAGGTTTTTCTAAACATTTTGTTATTTTGGAGCACTGGTAGCATTGATTTCCAGCATTTCAATTTTCAGTCAAACATCAGAGGTTTGTGCGATTCCACTGAAACTAATAATTGTTTTTTGATGTCTATTTCAAAATTATTTTGCCTTTGCAGTAGTGAAGTCATAAAATGCTAAGTTTTAGTGGAAAACCTCTTTAAATCCCTTTATTGAAAGCTAAGGGGTATGAGACATAATGCAGATTCACATTTTTAAAGCTGGTATAATTTATAGATTTATGGAAGAGTATTCAAATGTCATGATAAAACATTTCTTATCCATATCTTTGTTCCATATTTCAGGCTGCGGAACAGAACAATATGGATCCATCTATAGCAAAGAAGAAGTTAAAAAAGAAACGTGCCCCACCCCCTCCTAATCCTTTCACTGGTGAAATAGATCATGTTCCTGAACCAATTCGAGATGATTCGGGAGATGAAGAGGTTTGTCATTGTTTTATTTATTTTGATGTTAATTTTCATTTGTCAGTGGGTACCAGAGAATTAATAAGAGACTTGACTCAAAGGTACTTTAGAAATATTAAAACAGAACCTAAAAAAAGCATGTTATGCTATGTGATCTTCAGGTTTGAAGATCGCATAGCTTCAAACTCGTGATTAACAACATCATGTTTTTTTAGGTTCTGTTTTAATATTTCTATATGGCTCCACAGTTGTTGTATTGAGTACTATTGTAACAGTGAAAATATTTTTTGGTACTTTATTTTAACACCTATTCTTAAATACATGCTAGATTTGACGGTGTGCTTTTATAGTCAGCTCATGTCTAATTGACAAGAGCACAGCTCAGTTGATGCTGCCAAAATGTCTTTTTGAGGTAGAGTATGAATAAATGGTGCTGAACATTCCAATAAGACTTGAGGCAGAATGAATGAGGAAAGTAAACAAACCTACTGAACACGACAGACCAGGACAATGTTTCATACCATATCTTACAATAAAATATTAAAATAAAACCTGAGACATGTTGTTTTTTAGAGATGTCTTGTATTATTTGCAGGAATTAAGTGCCCAAGATTTGATAGATTTTAGTCCTGTGTATAGATGTTTACATATTTACTCCGTTCTGGTGAGTATTCAGTCTTACTGCTGTTGTATAGCTTCAGTGAGACTCTTAACTATGTTATTATATCTGCTGGCCCTTGACCAAACCTCTTGACTTTTATCTTTCTTGTATTATCTGTACCCATTTACAGCCAGGTCTACTGGAATGATGAAGAAAGATGACTTATTCAAGGTCACCAGACTTTCACACTATGACCGAGATAAGAACCCACATCCACCATTTGTTTGACATAGACAAGCAAATAATGTCATGTAAATTTTAAATGCTTCAAGTATTGTGCTTCAAGACCCTTCCCCTACCACCTGTTGTTCGATGTAACCATGCCAGTAATGTTGTGTTAATTTCCAATTGTGCTATTAAACATTTTAGGGTGATCGAGAAAAATTTGAAAATTATTATCGAACTCAGAGATGGAAACAGGCTAGATTGTCTTTACAACCTCCCTCTAATATGGTGAGTAGTGATATTATTCTGATTGAAAAGCATTGACTGCCAGTCAAATCATATTATATAACAATATTTCTACATCTGGATGGTCATCTCAAACTTGGTCAATAATAGTATATACCGGTAATCATCAACTGGAATTACCAGGTACCATGACTAAAGAATAGAATCTCTATCAAGACGATATATCCAAGTAATTATTGAAAAACGTGTGAGAGCATGTTTCTCTTTTCAGTAATTGTGTACAAAGAACTCAGGAGTATTATACCATAAAATTATGTTCCGTTACTGGAGTTGTGATTTACAGAGCTTTTGTTGATAGTGCAGTCAGCCATTTTGCCTAATCGCTGGTATCGCATTTGTGGGCCACTGCAAATCGTACCTAATCGTACTAGAAAATCAAAACTAATCGAATCGGGTGACAAAAACGACTTTTGATAGCTCTGAAACTTCAACAGGTTAGCAAGGACCATTTAAGGAAACATTATGCTGATTTAAAGGAAAGACCATTTTTAACAGAATGTAGATTAATTATTATTTTTTTAAATTCTCTAATTGTCTTTATTTTACAGCATGAAAGTATTGATGCATTTCAAAAATATTTCCATGATATTGTTGGGTAAGTAAGAAGATTGATGGTTTAAAAAAATGAAATATACAAGGTTTCTGAGTGGTCTGTGAAAACAGACTGGACCTGGAAAGTTTTTGGAAATGCTTTGAAAGGCTTCATCAAATTAACCTTTTGACCTAACCTGATAACAAAAAATTCCAGTGCTGGAGAGGGTAGAAATTTGATTGGTTAAAGCAGATGTCATCTAAAATTAATGTGACGAAAATTCAAGAGGGCTGTCATTAGACCCTTACAGAAATGGCCATATTAAAATTAAAAGCTAATAAAAAAAATGGAATATTTTCACACAATCGTTTGTTATGTATTTTTTCCAGTTTTTTTGTTGTTGAAGATCATATCTACCACACTAGTCAGGGACTGGTTAATCGAGCCTATATAGATGAATTATGGGAAAAGGCTGTAGAGAAAATGGTTGCCACGTTACGTGCCAGTGCAGTAAGTATTTTCCTACCTCCCAAACTGAAGAGTCTAGTATATTAGTAGAATATTCTGTTAGATCAGGAAATGCATTTCAGAGATGTTTATTTGACTGTATAATAAGTATCAAATTGTGCTCTTAACAATATATAGAATAATATAACAGAATCATAGAATATCATTGGCTAGATAACATCGAACAAATGCAAGTCATGGGTTCTGATCTTAGTCAGCGTATAAAGTCTGATATCCTTGTAAAATGGCTACTTCTTTCTTTCCACATAAATCAAATTATCTTTTGATGGTTTCATTATTCACATTTTGGGATCTATGGTATCATTTTGAACTATTTCTTTAAAAATCAGCACCATTCAAAATTTATTTTCTAAAAGTATTTTTTAAAAGGAACATTGTTATATGTAATTTATTTGTCATTTGGAATTTTACAGAACTAGATATAGTCAATATATACAGTTTTATATTTGCATGGTTTTAGAACATATAGATTATTTTCTTCATTGATATAGTAATATTTATTTTTTCCTTTTTTTCACCCAATTTATATTTTCAGTTTGATGAATTAGTAAGAAAAACAAAATATTTTTGATTTAAAAAATTTCCTAAAATTTTTCCTTAAATTGTTTGCCAAATGATTCAGTCCTTCATTGCTTTTTTCCATTTTCTCAGACACTTGATATATTCTTTACCTTAAGCACAATTCAAGTTAGACCTTTATTCTGTCTTTTTCATGCTTTCCTGTTTAAAATTTGTTATGTATCCTATCACAAAATTAAATTTGAAAAACATTTTCTCCCAAAATCGATCACTTTATCTTTATCATGTATTCCATCACAAAATTATGATTTTTTTCTCATGAAATTTTCGAAGTACTGCCTTGAAATCATTTATACTCCTTGGTTCACAACAGTATTTTATTTCCCTTTGAAGGTAGAAATAACAATAATAAGTGAAGAAGTAGGTAGAAACAAAGTTACTGTTGAATTTCTGTTCTGTTCAGTTTAGTTTGTTCATGTAAACACAAGATTTCGTAACGAAATTACGAACAATGTCAAATTTGTCAGCTTTGCTTTTACTTTTTAAAATTTTCTGTTGTAATTTTTTATGTTTTTAATCGTTTACTATTTGTTGTATCATTGATTTTTGTATGATTTCATTTGTAAATTATTTTCCCGATCTAGGCCAGATTAGTATTGGGTACGATGGGGAATAGGTCATATGAGGTATAACTAAGATCATGTATCAGATATATTATTAGGATAGGACTGTATCTATATATAAAGATTCACTGTTAAACAGGGCTGTTGATTTTACTATATTTACCATTCATATTTCTTGTCAAACTGAGCGCCAAAATCAGACGTTTGTCATAAGAGTATTTTTAGATTGTTTATTTTGACACTTTTCTTGTCTTGATTTAAATTATTTACATTTTATCAAATTAAGCCACAATGTTCTTAACATGAGAAACCTGTGAGAGAGTCAACAGCTCCCTTCTTTTTAATATATTCACAAAATATCCTCGGATCAAAATTTTTCTCACAAAAGAATATGATTATAAGATTTTTGTAGAATTTGTATTATAGACTTATCTTAAATCATGAACAACATGTATTTGACTTGTTGAAAAAAACCCAAAAACAAAGAATGGCATCTACAGCCCTGTTACTAAATCAAGCTAATTCTATGTTGTCACAATACATCATGCCAATATCCGAAAAACTAATTTATTTCTGAAACTCTAATCAATCAATCTAACTCTAATCAATCAATCTAACTCTAATCAATTTCTCAATATTAAAACTAATTTCATCATGTGCATGTACAAGTCTGGTTATAATTTGCAAGTCATCTATTTGACACCCCTTAACTTCTATTGAACTCCTCCACACATGCATACTTTCTCTCAATACAAAACTTTATGTACTGATTGGAAGAGCTTATTTGTAAAATTAAGAGGGTCTCTTATTGCTTGTCAAATTAAAACCAGCCATGCATGTATAAAACAATGATATTTCTCTGTAAAACCAGCATGTTATAATTTAATTCAACTTTTAACTTGAATTGTTTACTGTATCTCAAAAGAATGATATGTGCATGTTAATGTGTATGTATATTTTATGTTGATATTTGGGCTATTAATTTAATTGACTTGTTCATTCTTACTGGAAAGTGTATTAAAATTTTTTACTGGAGCCCAATTTGGTTAAAAAAAAATTAGAATGGGAATCAGTGATTTCAATGGACAAACAAACTTTTGACTTTTATGGAGAAAATCTAATAATAAAAAAGGGTGATTACTTTATCTATTACATTTACAAAGACATAATGATGAAGATGATATAATGACGAACTTAAAATAAATTAACTGCCCATAATATTATCAATGTGCATTGTGACTAGCCAATCCCTAATGATCAATATATATGCTATACCTTTCCTTACCCTGCATGTCAAAATACCTTTTAACCTTTGTTTAAAACCATTGAAAGTTTGTATTTTATAATGTATATCCAATATCCACCTCTTTGATATTATCAATAACTTTGATGTTAAATGCTAACATTTGCAGAGTGAGAGAACAAACTACCTTATATGATTACAAAAGTTTAGTTTTCCGCAATGTTATTCTCACGATCAGTTTAGCATCAAAGTGGGGTCCTGAATATCCAGAGCTGCCCTTTCTTCCCCTGAATATTTGAATAAGAAGGTTCATTTACCTTGTATATTACCAGCTAACCTTATATTCCATACAAAATATATGGAATTGGATCTTATATTAGTAAATTGTGTTGCATGAGCCAGTATCAAAATATAACAATATGTAAAAGAAATATCTTTTCAGTGTCTACTGTGTCTATGATTAAGTATTATAAGAATAGAAGATTTTGCATCTCATTGCCTAATGCATGAATTTTAATTGATATTTGATTAAATGTTATTGGTTCAATGATGCAGTCAAATGTGTTTTTTTTATTTTTCTCTTACAATAATTCAGTTGTATTACTTTAAACTATCTTTGTTTTTATATTTGAATGAATATATTAATGTTTTATTTACTTACTATAGACTCTGTTTTATTTTGATTATTATTTTATCTCTGGCTTATTTATTTTATTTCTAATCCTAATTTGGCTTAATCTTTGTTTTCTGTGAGTGAATACTAAGTCTTTTATGTGTGATTATGTAAGTTATTTAAGACTTTTGTTTCTGTTTTTCAGCAATCCTGTAGAATGTCCACATTAATTTTAGAGATTAAAAAATTAATAGTTTTATTTTGCCACACCTTGAAGGTGAGTTATTGTACGGGAAGGTATGGGTGTAAATTATTATGTTATTATTTGTATTAGCAATATGGACTGTCGGAAAGATTTACTTAGGTTACAAGAACTGAGTTATTGTACAGAAAAAGGTGATGGAATGGGTGGCTGGTTGAATATATAGCTTATTATATTACTTAGGGAGGGAGGTATGTGCACCCTCCAGAGGGGATGCTCGGTTGACAAGAGTTGTGTTATTTTACAGCAAAAGGGGAATTGACATAGTGCCTGAATGTATGCATACACTATTATGATATTATTAATAATATTAGCTAAGTTGTCACTAACCTTGACAAACCCATTTGCAGAGAGGCATTAGGTGTTTTAAAAGTTGAGTAAGTCAAGACTCTCACCACATTGCTTATTTTAGTTAAGATCAATTCATTAACGTATTTGGACTTGGACTCAAGCTAGATAATTTGAATAATGAAGGCAAATATCACTATTATTAATGTATTGATATTGCAGGGGTATGGTTTTAGTGTAGGCAGACTTTTAGAACTTTTGTTAGAAATGAGGTAAGTTCAGACACATTATCAAACTAAGCTACCATCTATACTATATGTGTTATACTGTAATATTTATTCATATTTGCATAATAATTTGTAATGTTATACAGCCGAGACGGATTTATATAAGCCCCGCTTGTTTCTGAATCGGTCAGATTTATATATTTGCAAATGTACATAATGTATAATTTTGAGAAATAAATATTGTTAAAATGAAACTAAGCTGTGCTGATGAGAAATATAGCATGGGATGAACTCTTATGTTTTTGATCTTTTTAAAGTACTAATCCTTTAACGACATTAAGTTTAATTAAGCTTAATTAGTCATCATAATCAACCAAGATAATCCCCCACTTTAGTTGCTTATTGTCACCCCATTGTTTACTGCCACTCCTAATAATCCCTAATTAATTGTTGCTATTGTTATTTTTGTGTGTATATATAACTTCTTGTACCATATTTCCTTAGTTTGCGATATCAGCATCCGCTGGAAGCGAACGGTAACTTGTCATCTACAAACCAACCACCATATTTCCTCACTTCACCTGATGATGACAATGTAGATTGTTGAAACATAGTGTGTAATAAAACTAAGGAGTAGTATACCATAAAGTTGTGTTCTGTTTTTTTTTTTAGACACTGTATAGGCTATTTGGTCTTAATACTCTTTGATACATAATTTTAAATGTCATTTTGTTATTTTCAGAGATCGTTATAGTGAAATTTTATCTGACCAATGGATAGATGTTTTTAATGAAATATTTCAAGAAGATAACTATACACCTATTAGTGTTTCTACAATTGAAGAGTTCAGTTTAATAACATCACAGTTACCATATGTAGACAAACAGTTAGAATCTGTAAGTTAAATATTGACAAAATGGCAATAGTTCCAAACCATTCCTCTGGGCAAGGCTTTAGATGAAATGGCAGATTTATTTTATTTTATTGGTTACTCAGACAGACAGGATTCAAACTTCATTTCATTGGTAGATAACAAACATTAATAGGCTCAATAGGTTAACTTGTTGTTTGCATTGAGACGTTCATAATTTCAAATTTACTATTACAGGAACCATTTCCAAGACGGTTTCCATACTCTCAGTTTGTACCTAGTGTATTCAACCAAGTTAAAGAATACATCAACGCCTGTTTAAAATTCTCAGCAGATTTACATCTCAGGTTTGTTCCTCTTCTTTCTCTTTATTCTCAGAGTTAATCAAGTCAGGTTTTTGTTTTTACCTTCCTTTTTTTGTGAACCATTGAGCAGGTTTGGAGCCAGGAAGATTATTCTTACTTTTCTAGACACCTAATACCACTTTTCATTAGAAAATACTTACTCAGTTCTGATTGTGAACTTTCTCATTTTGTAATTCAGGCCACATCTTCTGGAAACGATCTTAGCGCTAGAATGTCCTAAGTCCTTATCTCCTTGATTCTCATTGATTCTAGGACATTTTAGCGCTAAGATCGTTTTGAAAATACATGCTCAGATCTTTGTACTTTTATCCAAGTATTATAGAAATGGAAGTGTTAGGGAAAATATTGAGATAAATTACAGGAATGTTGTATTTAATGATTATTGATTTTATAGCCATACAGAAATAGATGATATGATTAGAAAATCAACCAATAATTTATTAACGAAAACACTAGGTGGCTGCTTATCTCAGTTGATTAAACGTCCTAACTTCGGACTCTTACAGGTATGTATAGCAAGTCAGTTTTGTAATAGTCCATTGTTACATTGTTAACAATAAAAGATGATTTTCCTTATTTTTTAGTGTCAAATTAAGCAAACTATTTGATTAATTAGTGTTTCTAATGAATTATCATGTATTCTTAATCATATCATTATGTTTATTGGTGCATATAATAAGGAGTTTTAACCAATCATAAATGTCCATGTACGTATAGTCTGGATAAACAAAGATAGACTTTTTGACCTTTCTTGATCGACCACTCATTGCAATTCTGTATGGTAATTCTCTTCTTATTGAACTGACTATGAATAGATTATGGACATGTGAGACAAACTGGTATTTTTCCAAGTCATTTCTATTCTTTAAGTAAGCCATTAAATAGAAAATTAAGATAATGTTGATTGGATGAAAAAGTGGGTTAGTTTCTAAATCAAGTTCAATTCATAGTATTTTCATGATAGTAAAAATACTTGTGACAAGCTTATAGTATATATGAAATAGAGATAAGAGTGGTTATAGTGGAATAAATGACCATTTTTGCACCTTATTGGGTAATCAAAACAGGATAGTCTGCCTGTGATATACATATTTTATGTAGATACTGCAATAAAGTCAGTGTAAATGAAAGGAATTTGATATTATTGATTCAAAGTATATTTCATACTATGTTTCAGTTGATCCAAATATCTATTAATATGAACTACCTAGAGAAATCATGTTCGTTATTAGAAGAATACATATCTAGTATAACAGGGTAAGTCTACATAATCATTATTTCAAAATACCAGATTAATGTTCAGTCGATTCTTTTATTTACCTGCCAATATCCAGCATGAATGTCAAATCTTTTAAATACCCCCCTTATGCTATAGAAAAATTTCAATGCTTTTGTTTTTCATTTTATTGAATTCAGAATTCAGAAGAGATGTGTAACATTGTACGATCATTTTTTTTTCAATTATCTGCCAGTATCCAGTCTGGATGTCAAAATCTATTAAATAGCCTAATATCTTTAGAATTCAGAATTTCAGTTAAACAATATATGTAGGATGGAAGGACTATTTCTTTCCTTTAAACTGCCAGTATCCAGCTTAGATGTCTAAATCAATTGAATACCCTGATATCTATAGATAGCCAGTAGAATTTTTTTTTTCAGATAAATTTATTTTAACATTGATTTTAAACTGTTGTTATTTACTTAATCATAGCAGAATTTATAAGATTAATCCTTGTTGGATACAGAAAGTACAAACTGCCAATATCCAGAGTGGATGTCAAAGTTGATTAAATACCCTAATATCCATAAACCGCTAGTAGCAAGATGTTTTCCCAGATAACTGAAGCTTGAGAAAGATTTGGAATTGTAATTGCCTACATAATCAAGATAGAATCTCTAAGATTTATCCTTTTTTGGTAAAATACCTATTGGTGAAGACTACACAATGTTGTGTTAATGACCATTTATCTATTTCAGGGCAGAAAAAGACAGTGTACATGTGTCGAGGTTGCATGGAACATCTATGTTTAAGGTAATTTCATTTTTTCACCGCAAATTAAGATATTATAATAACCCAGATCACAGCAATTTTTATTTGCCCAAATTAGCATAATACATAGAATTTACCTTGTGAGAATTATTTTATACTATACTGGGGTATAGCTTTCTAGTGACCACATGATAAAACAGTTGATTTGATAGAAATTACATGAAGATTATAGGCCCACAATAGCAAATATTAAAAGTACCTTGTGAATGTAATACCCGGTTTCCCCCTGTCAGTGATGAAGGTAAGAGGGGCTGACATGGAAAAAGCGTCTAGTCGTTCAGATGGGACAATAAACCGGGCCCCGTGTGCTACAGACTGTGCACGTTAAAGATCCCTCGACAGTTGGAAATTGAAAAAGAGCAGGCTAATGCCGCTGTCCTGGCAAAATTTCCTTCAATGCACCCTGCATGGCGTTGCCCATCTTCATTAGCCCACATGGTGCAGAAAAGTAGGATGTAAAACTCCATTCATTTCATTTTTTTGTGAATGTAATATTGAGATGCAATTTAGTTATCAAGGTAAAGAAATGAGTTAATCAAAGTTTATATATGCCATAAAATTTCTGCAATTTGGGGTGACTTCTGTTTATTGTTTACAAACCTTGTTACCCTCCAGTATATCTAATAATATCTCTCATCTATTCAGGATGCAAGAAATGATGCTGAACAACATATTTATCATCAACTTAATCTAAAAATAGATGAATTTTTAGAACTCGGTAGGTAAAAGTTTTAATATATTATTTGATAGACAACGAATGCAGTGGCAGCGCAAGCCTTCCGAGACTGGGGATACAAATAGGGGGCAGACTGGTTCAATGGGGGGACTGCTGAGGCTAAATTCAAATTTTGGCTACTCTGTGGTGGTGTCATAGTCGCAAGCCTCTCATAGAGCGTCTTAGCAAAGTTTAGAAAAAATGAATTGATTTTGTGCATTCTGACACATATTTTGGAGAAAAAAGGTAGACATTTAGATTTGTTGAAAAAAAAAGGGGTAACAGTTTATTGCCGATATTTACGTGTTCAAGACATTCTAATTTTGATACAAAGACTTTAGTATGAATATAAGTAGGGTGTATTACTTTACGTTTCAATGTTTGAGACTACCGACATGGTTGTTTACATTGGAAACAATCTATTTTATACAATGACGTCAATGAAAAACGATTAAAATTAATACGCCTAATGTTTTTGTGATAAGGCAATGGCATTTATTGTGATATAAACGCCACACAAACTTGCATCAGTCCAATGGACAAAACAATAGCTAATGTAAACATTCAAAGATATCCATTATGAAAAGGATTGGAGAGCAGGTTTCGCTTATACTACCCCTCTCTATTCCATATATGATTAAGCTTAAACCTCTGTTTGGAAATGTTCCCTTGGATGAGCTTTTTACTCATTTATATTTTTATTTACAGCCACGTATGATTGGACGATAACTGAATCACGCGGTCATTCCAGTGGATATATCATGGATCTAATTGCCTTCCTACAGAGTACCTTTATGTCCTTCACTAACTTACCTGTAAGTTCAAAGTTTAATATTTCTTTTCCCTTGTTGTCAGGATTTGTGACAGCAGAAGGATAATTATTTTGCAATAGGCTCTTTCATTCACTCATCTTTCTCTATATTCCATTCCGAAAAGTAGGATGAAAAAACTCCATTGATTTCATTTCTATGTATCATTGAATATTAATTTGTTGCTTGATACTTTTACTCTCAATCAAATTCCTAATTAAGTGTGTTAAGCTTGTAAAAAGACAATGTTTTGGAATTTTTTTTCAATTGAATAGTAATTACAACTAAAATGAGGAAAACAAGAAAACTTTCAAATATTTTTCATCACATCGGTGATTTGAAGATACACAACCTTAAAGGCTTCCTTAATTTTGTCCAGATTTTATTCCAAGTTTAAAGGATTACTTCCTCTTAGAATGGACATAAAATTTAGTCTCAAACTTGATCAATAAGTGTATTCATTCATCAGTTAGACTTACCAAGTACCATGATTAGAATAGAATCTCTATATAAAACGATACATAGTTTAATGAATTTATTGGATTATAGAGGGATCTGTTTAAATTCAGTTTAAAATTTTCAATTTTTTGGTCATCCTAAGAGGTAGTATTCCTTTAATTTTGTGTTGTATCAGTTATATATGACTTTATGTTTTCCTTGGTTTATACTTTCTTTTTCATTTGCACATTTCATGCTTTACTGCTTAGTCTCAAATTTTACACAGAAATTTGGTGCTTTGCCATGACCTTATGTATGAAATCTTCAACAACCTGATTGTGTTATTTTTGTTTAAGAATAATTAATTTTTTGTAAGCAATTTTCATGTGCTATGACCTTTTGAAGTTACATTTTAAGCTAAAATGTGATTTTGATGTTATAAGCTTTAGGCCTTAAATTCTTTCATGTTACGAATCTGACATGCAGAAAGGAGTTAACTTCGGCTGATTTGTAAATTCTATTTTGTAAGCAATATTTCCATGCCTTAAATTTGTCTTCGCTATGAATCTGAGCTTACAAAGGCTGATTTATGAATTTTATTTTGTAAGCGATATTTTTACACGAGAGATGACGTTGCAGGCGATACTGTGAGTACAGACTATTTGTATACAGTGAGTAATGGCATGAAGCCTGCCAACTTCCCTACCTTAGGTTATATTTTATTTGTATTTTTTGATAATTAATTATTTGGGGTCTGATGCCAAAAATATCTGACACTTCTAACTATATGTTTTTAAGATATCTGAGGCCATATTCTCAAAAATGTAAAACATAAAATCCAGATTTTTAGAAAAAACAATAATCTGATTGGATAATAAAACTCAATTTAGATAAATTTTAGTGATTGACCAATCAGATAACTGGATCACTAAAATCATCTTTTGTTAGGTTTTTGAGAATTAGATACCAATTTTTGATGCAGTAATGTTAACCAATCAAAGATCTTTGAATTATAGAGTTTGGATGCTTCTGGCAGTAAACCCTCGTTTAATTTCAAGTTATACAGAATTACTGTTCTGATCAATTGTAATTTGTTCAAAGATTTCATATCTGACTTCGTTAAGTTGTTCGCATTGAAAATCTTGGCTCATTTCATTTCATGAAATTAATGACAAACCCTATACTGTTATAGAGATCTTTCTCCGTTCAGCAAAATATTTATCACTTGAATGGACCTCAGCAGCTGAGAAGATATGTTATAAATTGTCAATTAAGATTGTGTTTAGATTTTGTTTTTGTTTAAATGACTGGTATTGCTTTTCTAACCGTCTTTTGTTTGCGTTGAAAAGCATGAGATAGGATTGCCATTTCTTTTAATGTTTCTTTTAATTTTTAATACTAACATTTCATTTTCAGGCATGAAGAGTTATCTCTCCCTTTTAGCCTTTTACTTTTATGATAAATAATATTTGCATTGCCTTGATCAAGCCACTAGAAATACACCCATAATGCATGATAGCTCAGCACCGACTAAAATAGATTACACTTAAGATCCCTTTAACAAGACCTCCTTCACTTGACTAATATTTAAATCGTTGTCTTGAGCAATTGTTGCATTTTTTTTCTAATTCTTTTGGCTTATGACTCGAAAGGTTTTTGTATGTTACAATTTCATTTCCGCTGACAAATTGTTTTATCTAGGGTAGTACTATTTTTTGAGAATAAGGAATTGTCATTTGGGGCCTATTCTCAAAATCTTAACTTTAAAAATCCAGAATTTTAGGAAATTTTGCATTTTAATTGGTTAATAACTAGAATTAAAGTAATTTTAGTGATTGACCAATCAGATGAACAGAATGTTAAAATCGTTCAAAGTTAAGTTTCTGTGAATCAGGGCCTTGTTCAACTAAAATTCTTACGATCAATTTTGTCGTAAGTATGGCATTTCTCAATATAAGATTTTAAACTTAAGACAAATTCTTATCCCAAGATTTTTTGTTGAACTGGGTCCAAGGGTTAATTTTGAAGACTGGTACTGCTCCAGTAAGGTGAAACTTGAATGTGTTTATTCAGAACTGGAATTTCAGGATAAGTCTAATTTAATTTTAGGAAAAAGTAGCAAGAACAGCGTGTATGTCAGCTTGTCAACATATAGCAGCTAAATTAATGGAGTTTTTAGTTGATAATGATGTGAAACAGATGACAATGGGGGCATTACAACAATTTAATTTAGATTTAATACAATGTGAAGGTTTGTCTTCATTATTACAATTCTAATACTTCAATTTCTCCTGTCAGTGATGCAGGTTGGATATGGAAAAAGCAACTGGTTTGTTCAATACACAGGACAATAAACAGAGGCTCTGTGTACTACAGTTTGTATGCATGTTAAAGATAAGCCTAGGCTGCATGTGCTACTGGCTGTGAATGTTAATACCTTGACAGTCGAAAAAGAGAAGGTGAATGCTACTGTTTTGTGCTAAAGAATTCTAGAGCCTTGGGGCTCCCAGAAACAAGTATTCCATGTAAAAAAAAAATTTTGAAGGTATTGTTTATATAATTTCAGAGTTTGCTGATTCAGAGCCAGTACCTGGATCTAGTGATGGAACTTTAAAACTGGCTTTTGCTGATCTGAGACAAGTAAGATTTCAATTTTTCCCTTTTGTTATGCCCAGATAGTAATGTGGATTTTAAGGGAAAGGTGCACCATTTTTTTAACCAATCATACTTTAGTCACAGAAACAGGATTTATTCAGCTTAGCCACTCAGTATTGTTGTTCACAGCTCACCGTCGAAATTTGAGCCTTCAAATCCATGTGTGTCTAAAATTATCTGCATTTGAATGTCAAAATTATAAAAACAAAGAACTGAATTGTCCCTCTCATACTTTATTAAATTATTCTTGTCTGTTATAGTTACTAGATCTGTTTATAAATTGGGACTGGTCGATGTATCTAGCTGATTATGGTAAACAACATTCGAAATATATCAGAGTACCTCGATATACAGCTATTAATCTCTTAGAAAAGTAAGTTATCTTTCTTAGAAAAGTAGGTTATTATCTGTAGAGTAAGTTATGATTCTTAAACAGGTAAGAGGGGCAGATATGGGAAAGGCGTCTAGTCATTCGAATGAAGCAATAAACAGAGGCCCCGTGTACTACAGGTTGTGCACGTTAAAGACCGCTAATGCTGCTGTCCTGGCAAAATTTCCCTCATTGCATCCTGCATGGCTTTGCCCATTTTCATGAGCCCACATGGTGCAGAAAAGTAAGACGTAAAACTCAATTCATTTCATTTCATATGATTCTTAAAGTAAGTTCTTAGAAAGTAAGCTTAATTCTTTGAAAGTAAGTTATGATTCTAAGAAAGTAATATATGATTCTAAGAAAGTAAGATATGATTCTTAGAGAGTAAGTTAAAGAAAGTTATGATTCTAAGAAAGTAAGATATGATTCTAAGAAAGTAAGATATGATTCTTAGAAAGAAAGTTATGATTCTTAGAGAGTAAGTTAAAGAAAGTTATGATTCTAAGAAAGTAAGATATGATTCTAAGAAAGTAAGATGTGATTCTAAGAAAGTAAGATATGATTCTTAGAAAGTAAGTTAAAGAAAGTTATGATTCTTTGAAAGTAAGTTATGATTCTAAGAAAGTAAGATATGATTCTTAGAAAGAAAGTTAAAGAAAGTTATGATTCTAAGAAAGTAAGTTATGATTCTTAGAAAGTAAGTTAAAGAAAGTTATGATTCTTAGAAAGTTATGATTCTTTGAAAGTAAGTTATAATTCTAAGAAAGTAAGATATGATTCTTAGAAAGTAAGTTATGATTCTTAGAAAGTAAGTTAAAGAAAGTTATGATTCTTAGAAAGAAAGTTATGATTCTTAGAAAGTAAGTTATGATTCTTAAAAAAAATAATAAACTGCTGACTGGTTTTTACATTGTTTTTCTTTTTCAGATTAAACAATGCAGATAAGAAGAAAAATAATTTGTTTACAGCGTTAAAAAAGAACGAAAGAGACAAGAAAAAATTAGTAGAAACAGTGTTAAAACAGTTGCGTGGTCTAGAAAATGGTACTGCAGTACATGGATAACATGGATACATTATATTGTGATATAAACTTAGTGGCATTAGCGATGCTGAACGATAACAATCGAACAAAAGTGTTATTTTTAGTGTGAAAAAAGTGCAATTTTCCCAAAGTCTGTCCTCTTGGATTGGAAGTCAAGAGGTTCTCTAGATCACTATGATGTGCTGCTGACTTCATCTGAAAGTCTTCAATTCTGTTACCATTTTTTTGCTGTCAGAGCAAGAATGTTACCCGAATAGAAATTTGGACAATTTTGCAAGAAGCATGTACAAAGTCATTTCTTCCCATTGCAAGATGGGTGGTTAATCACATTGAAGGGCTGTGTAAGTCATCTGAAACTGAAAGTCTTGAATTCTCGTTGATGTCTTAAGAGTCTATCTGTTCTGCTTGAGGCAAGAAAGTCACTTAAATTGAACAATATTTGATAAAGCAAAGCCAGTCGTTCAGGATTTAATTTTCATATTTGGATTATGTTTTTATAACCTTTTTCTGTGAAGATTTTCAAGTGTCAGTCTTGCCCCAAAAAACATTGAGGATGAAGCAGCAGTTTTTAATTTTCTTGGAAGATGATTCAAGTGTATTTGAAAATATCACTGTTTTGTTATAGGCCTGATAAACAAGTTAATTTTCAGATGCTTCTGTATTGAGAATTCAGTTCTAAACTCTATACAGTTTGCTTTGTCTTTATTTTCTGTTTCCTTTCCATATCACTGAAACAAAAGTATAAGACTCTCAATACTTCTTTTGTTTATGCATAATAACTATAAACTAAACTGCTGTTCATTTTGTGCCAAAGAATTTGTCTAATGCTGTGAAAACTCAGTTGAAATTGTATCTATTATAGTCCATTTTACAGAAAACACAAGGAAAATTTCTTATTTCACTTATTTAATTACATTGTCCAGCTAAAGTCTTTGAATGGCATTTAGCAATTGTGAGTACGATATATAGACACAGCTTTATGGAACAACAATCACTGGTTAAAGTTTTATGCAACGTTTCGACGTGTTTCCCCCGTCGTCCTCAGGCACATAATGAGAAGAAGTGATGGGCAAACTATATATACATTAATGCTTATTATTAAGAACACACAAGAGATAAATAGTTTATTGATACATTACATTAAATTTTAACAGGTACAATAAGAGGTATATAATTCTTAAAATAACATACAGGCTGATTAAGTAAAATAATTGAAGTAAAGTAAATGAATTAAAAAGATTAATTGAAGATTAAATAAACAACTATTGCTGGTA